CTGGCCCAGAAGCCGTGAGGGCTGGCCGCCCACAGATGTCAGTGTCAGGCTCAGAGAAGGCGATGTGTTTGGTCACAGCCGTTGGCCTCATGTTGGACTCACATGTGCAGGCCTTGAGCTTGCCTTCAGAGGTCTTCCTGTACACGTGGGGTGCACACACACCTCTGACGATCCACTCCAGTTCCCATGTGTTAGGGAAGAGGTCACTGGGGAGGTGAAGGGACTTATCAGCATCACAGATACAGAGATAGCTGGGACTGGGACTCGTGTTTCATGATTAGGAGGGTAATACTAGGTTACTGTTCTTTTTGATACCATAGTGATAAGTACATGGTGACCTGCATCTGTTTAATGAGGGAGGATAAAAAAATTACGAAGAAATCTAAAACTTCTTTGGTTATCTTTGTTTTTGCCATAGGGCACAAGAGCTTGCTGGAGAGAGAGAGAGAGGCTGAGAGGGAAAGTGAGAAACCACCCTCAGGGGAGGTGGCACACTGCATCCCCTTCTCCATGCGCGTACACGACCCTGGTGTGACTCTCCAGCCACTGGAAACGGGACTCAAATCACGGTTGGCCAGTACCTTAGCCACCATGCCAGGCCTGGCCTCTCTGAAAGTGCTTTGACTTTAAAGTTAGTGGGGCGGTCAGGTACCGTCAAAGGCACCGTTAGTTACTGTCTCTTTCTTTGGGGGACAAATCAAAGGCCAGAAGGCTCAACTGTGGCAAGAGAAATTTTTCTGTTTTTAGCTTTTTTACTATGGGGTGTGTACACTTGCCAGAGAGAGAGACAGAGACAAGGAAAGTGAGAAATAACCCCCCGGGAAATGGCCCTGCCACAGTTCCTCCTCTTTCATCCTTCTCTCGGGAGTTTGGGCACGCATGCACATGCACATGCACCAGATGCGGTTTTAGGTTACCAGGTCTGGGACTCGAACTGCAGAGTTGGCCATGTGAGATCTAGCACCTTAGTCATCATGCCGCCTGCTGGCCCAACCAGAGAAGTTTTAGTGGCCAGAGGGAGTCCTTTTGGCCAAACTAGGATTGCTGGTCAGACATACACAGGTCCTAAGGGAAGCTGTCTGAGGCGCCCTCAGCTAGGAGCAGTGCTGTGTGGGTGTGTTTAGGGACTAGCACAGGGAACGAAGGGCAGTGCAACTTCCTAGACCCCTGAGCCTTCATTGGTAAGAGCCGAGTGAGAGGTTTTGAACGGGCGGGCAGTGGATTCCTACTGGCATTCCCGCTTGTTACCAGCTCTGGGTGGGAGGTAAGGGATGACTCTCAAGGAGTGGACAGCTCTGCTATAGAGAGATGAGCAGTGAATTGCACCATTTCACGTACATGGGACTGTCTCGGTCACTGGTAGGTGACCAGTCTGTGCAAGTGCTGCTTCTCCTCAGGTGTCGTCAGAGTGTTTCTGCGCAGAATTCAACGGTAGAAGCCCCCCCCCCACACAGTACCCAGGGAACACTGTAACACCTGACCGTTTCTTTTTCTGCCAGTGTTGGCTTTATTGTATAAGCCTCAAGTGTTACAACTAAGACAACGGAAGTAAGCTGTAGAGAGAATTTTCTAGCCAGTAGGAGCCATCTCAGTATAAGAAAAATAACGAGGTGTCCTTGCCATAGGATGCCAGATTATCAGGTGTTTTATAACGATTGAAAAGCCTAGTACTCTTCAAGATACTTGGGGATTCGATCCTTTTCTTTTCTCATCATCTAATCCATTCCTTTTTTTTTTTTTAAGCTAATTTTGCTGCTATTCTTGCTTTTGTTTGTTGGTTGGTTTTTTGGCCTTTTTTTTTTTTTTTTTTTAGCTTTTTGCCATAGGGTGCATGCACTCAGCAGAGACAGACAGAGATAGAGAGAGGGAAAATAAGGAATCACCCCAAAGTGGTAACGGCCACACTGCAGGCCCTTCTCGAGTCTCCCCCTGGGATCTCGGGCACGTGTGCACGTGTGCCTGGCATGATTTTCAAGCTGCCAGTTCTGGGACTTGCACTGTGGGTGGCCTGGGGGTCCAGCACCCTAACCACCACACCACCTGCCGGCCCCACTGCTGCTGTTCTTAAATATATGTCATTACAGTGGGGTATGCCCCGTGATTATCAGAGGGTCTTTGTCATTCAGATCATACGTGTATACTCTTTTTAATTGCCAGAGAGCATATGTACATGCCAGATGCGAGGGGAGCAACCACCTCCTCAGTGGGCATAACCACGGCATAACCCTTCCGCCTCCAGTCCTCCATTCTTTCGGGGTGTGAGGCATGCACGCATGTTCCAGGAATGTTTTCAGCCATCAGTTCCAGATCTGAACTGTGATTAGCCATCTGAAGTCCAGTTCCCTCAGCCACTAGACTCGAGAGCCAGCCTTGAATTTTGATAATAGTATGAACTAGGTAAGAGGACGAAAATATGACACATTATTTTAGGAATGGTCTAAGATGAAACATTTGGAGAATTTGATGGAAACTAAAAAAGGCAAAGAATTGACTGAATTTCTCTGATCTGGCTTGTTAAGTTATAACTCACGCAGTACTTGAAGACTGCTGTCATGGGAGTATCAGCTGGGAATTAAAACTCAATCTTGTCGTTTTATCTAAAGCACCAATAAGGAGTCCTTAAACGGTGGAAACCCTCAGCTCCACAAACAAGATGAGCCAGCTAGGAGACCCATGAAGTTAGTGGGGCTGGGCCACGGAGAGGTGAGTGTTGGATCTTATATTATCTCTCTGCTGTGTGAAATAGATGCACGTGATTCGGGGAACTCTTCGCATAGATAGAACACCTCATCCATCCATTTACTCCCAAGGGCTTTAGAGAAAGAAGCCGTGAGCTTAGCCTGCTATAATGAGACAGGTATACTCCAGGCAGGGGATAGTGCCTAAAAGCAGATTATATTTACCAAAAAAGTTGCTAAGAAAAAGAAGGCAGTTTCTGCCATGGATCTGGTGACTTTTGGCAGCGAGGGGTGACCTCCTTGGCGGTGTAGGTCAGCGTACCTTTAGCTTCCATGCCCTCTGCCCGTAGTAATACGTTGTGGATTCCTTTGGCCCATCCCTGTCACTTCTGTGAGTAGGAAGAGCACAGTGGGTTGGAGGGATGTTTCAAGAAATTCACAAGCCTCCTGATGCCTTTCATTGGAAACCCAGACGTTGTTGTGTTATTTGTTTTATCATTTGGTCAAGCAGGTTGCCAGACCGGCCCATAAAAAGAAAGCTCGCATGGCGCGGACGCGCTCCGATTTCTTGACTAGAGGTACTTTTGCCGATGGGGAGGGGGACACAGAGGAAGATGATTACGATGACATTCTTGAGCCCCTTCTGTCCCTTGATCAAGCTTCTCACTCTGAGCTAGGGCCTGTACCCAGCCTGGGTCAGGCGTCTCACAGTGACTCCGAAATGGTAATTGTACAGCAATTTAAGAAACATAGCAAGCAAATCTGATGGGAGTAGTCTTTGCTAATCTAAAGCTAACCTCTGCAGCTTCTTCCCTTGGTATGGTTTGTACATGGGAAACCTCAGGGAACACAGCAACCAAAATGAAGTCTTCATTTCACTGGACTCACATAAAGGGCACTTAACGTCTATGAAATCATTAACTAGGTAGCATTAGGGTTATTTAGTTTAGTAGAGACTTCCCATATTATATCTTAAAAGCTCTAGAGCAGAAGTCCTTACTTTTTTTCTATCAAGTGCCAGATGATAGGTATTTTAAGCTTTGTGAGTTTGATAGTCTCTTGCTGCTGCTTACCTGAGCTCTGCAAGCAGCTGCAGACAGCAAGCAGGCAGGGTGTGCCCTGTCTGATACTCCCCACGGGCACGGACAGGCAGCAGGGTGAGGTCGCGTCATTCAGAACTTTTACTGACATGCTATGCATTTTACTTTGGGGTCTTGTTTTTGTTTTTCGCCTTTTGCCTTTAAACTTGTTCCTCCACCACCACCCACTACCATTTTCCTGTAATAGTAAATAAACATAAGTTTCTTTTTTAAAGAATTATTTAGTTTTTCAAATTTTCTACAGGGGAAAGAGAGTAAGAAAGTAGGCCACCAGGTCCAGGACTTGAACCATTGTTGGCCATGTGGAAGTCCAGTGCCTTAATCACCGTGCCACTCCTGGCCCCCCAAACATAAATTTTTAAAAATTCAGTAAGCAAAAATGTGACTCCCTGAGCCAGCCTCATAAAGTAGAAGACTGTATTTAATGTGAACTTGTACTAATCACAAAATACGACATTGAAATTGTACTTGAATAAAGTGGCACAATTTTTGGCTAAGAGTAGAACTTTGTCATCTCAAACAAAGTTAGGTATGTATGTGGTTTGACAAGTACTTGTGGCTATGCTAGGTAGAGAGTTTTATTGTAGAATTTTCCTAGAAAGTATTTAATACAAGAGCACTTTGAAAGTTGGTAGAAAATGGAATTAAAGTATGAGTTTAGTTCGGTACACATAATTTTTGACATTTTTCCCGTAGGTTTTTCGTAGCATGCATTTTCTATGAACCTGTCAAAAGCCCCTTGCATGAGGCCCCGTGAGTCCAACATGAGCTCAGGCATGATCTGATGAAGCGGCACCTGGTGCGTTGTGTCCATGCACGTTCCTTCATCAGCTTCCAGCCTAGTGGCCGTTTATTGTGGGCTGCAAGTTTTAGTACAGTGCTATTTGTGTTGTGTTTTGTTTTCAGTGCAATTGTTTTCTGAGTTATTAAATATATATATATATTTATTTATTTATTTATTTTTTGAGGAAGAGAGAGATTTTTCCTATTGGGCATGTGTCCTCACCAGAGACTGTGGGATAGAAAGTGAAAACCCAGCCTTCAAGGGGGATGGCCACACCACAGTCCCCTCTCCTCCATTCTTCTCTCAGGATTCAGGGCACACACAAACGCTCCCAGTGTGTCTCAAGCCACTGGGTCCAGGACTCAAACCACGGTCGGCCACGTGGGAGTCCAGCACCTTAACCACTGTGCCACCTGCTGTTCCCAATTCATTCAACATTTTATCTATAAATTATCTTAAGCTGTTTGAATTTTGTCAGAGCACTACTTAATTAAAATGTTTTATAATTTCCAGAATACCTATAGTTTCCAGAATATCTTTTGTTGGAGATAGACCCAGTTTTAAAATGATCATGTTACTGTTCTGTGAGGAGAAAACAAGCAGTGATAAAGGCAGAAGCTTGCAGAACAGATGCCCTTGCTCGTCACGTGGGTCGCTGCCTTGAGCCAGCTGCGGGAGGCTGGAAGGTGGAACCGCAGGTGCCATTAGAGCCATCAGAGCCCCACTCTTCTCCCACAGGGCCCCATTCAGCTCCATTTGGGAGGCGCCCTGTATTTGAGTCGTGAATGATGAGACGTCCTCTGTTCCGAGTAGTGCTTTAAAAGGAGGTTATGTAATGGAACAACCTAATTTTAATTGAAAGGACTGCTTTACCGCGTGGGCCTCGATTTATTGTTTGTGGAGAACTGAGCCCCTGCAACTGCTGCTCCGTTCCTGAGTGTTTCCTTTGTGACAAACCCTAGTCCTTCCGTGGTAGATCCTTCCTCACTGGGAGCTCACAGAGGCGAGCCAGGAGTCGGGCTTTCTGCGGGAGCACTCTGCTCCGCTCCTCTCAGGGTCTAGCCTGTCACCTGCTTGACGTCACTGCATGCCTAGCGTAGAGCACCCCCGCACAGCCTTAGCCGCTGCTCCTCACTGTCCCCTCACGGCTTCTGTAGAACAGGTGGTGGTACTCAGCTATGGTGGACACTTGCATGAAGGAGCTTTGCTTTCTAGAAGATGCCTGTAGATACTTTGCGGGTTGGGGAGGGGAGGCACACATTTAACATGCGTTTCTGTCTTATTTTGAAAATATGTCATGTTCTAATATGATCTGATATTGTCAATGAAATCTTACTGTTTCTAAATGTAATCTACTGCTTTCTCAAAGTCTAGATGTTTTCTGGATTTTAAATGGAGTTAATTTTTGGACATGTGGATTTTTAAAAGCTGGATTTTTTTTCCCCAAACTGGACTAAGTGACCCTGTCACTCGGATATTTGCTAAGAAGTGTACTGTAAAACCTTGGAAGAAATAGCCATCTCACCTTTCCAGTTGTGACATAACGGATTGAATAAGATATACACAGTTACAGATGAATGACGTGAAAGGGATTTGATGAGCATTACCGTTTGAGTTGGTTAATTAGAAATCTGTTGTTACCCACTGAGAGGGAGGGTCCTTTCCCTCCTTAGTGACTTTGTTTTCTTTAACTTTTTACTCCAGACTCACCCTTTGAGTAACTGATAGTTTGCTGCCTCCACTCAACTTTTAGACCCACAATGTTGACATGTGCCCCCAAATGACATTTTCTGTTAAGCAATATTTTGTTAAGAATTATTTAATTTTATTTGTTGTTATTATTTTTTAAAATTTGACCAGAGACAAAGTGAGAAAGCAAGCCACTAGGTCCCGGACTTGAACCATAGTCAGCCATGTGGGAGTCTAGCACCATAATCACCAGCCACCTGCCGGCCCTGCGCAGTATTTTAATAGCGTTTTCTAACCTCTTGGTGTTCAGGATGGTAGGTGGGTTAGGAAGAGCATTTCTGTCCCTCACTGGAGGAGTAGGGTAGGAAACACTGCGTTTTCTCTCTGTGACGTCTTCTGCTCTTCCCAGACTTGAGGTCGGCTCTGGATATGACGGTTCGCAGTAGCTCTCCAGGGTTTGTGTCTTCTTTCCCTCCAGGGTAGTAAAACGAAATTTCTCATTGTTCTCCTGAGACTTCTGTCACTTCTTAAGTTCCTAGTTGTTTTTCTCCAAGTATGTGTCAGTGTTGAGTTTTCTTTCTGTCTACCATCCACTCACCAAAGACATCCGGGAAAACCTGTCAATCCAACAAAGCTATGTTTGTTCCAGGGAGGGGCACCCCATCTTGACTTCTTAGTAATGTCTCCTGGGAGGCAGGAGAGAACTTCTGTGTGCTTGTAGCGACTGGGCTAGGGGACTTCCAGGTGGGTTTTGCAAGGTGGGAAACTGGTTGGGATTGAGCAGTGTCTATGGCAGAACACGGACTGGCCACCCTACACAGCAGCCCCGCTGTCGCCTACACGCTCTGTGCTCCTGCTGGGCTCCACTCCCGAGAGACCCAGGAGCAGCAGTGTGCGCCGTCGGGACCGTGTTTTGAAGACTTGATAGAATGTCCCCTTGAAGCCATCTGAGGATTGGTGCTTTCTTGTGGCACAGTTCCTTCTCGGGTTTTCTATTTCTTCTAGGGAAATTGATCTTTTAAATAAAGCCTTTTATCTAATGGGGTCAATTTTGATAAACAGCTTTTTCTTATGAAATTATCCATTTCATCCAACCTTTCAGGTTTATTTGCATAGAGATTTGGGAAGTAATCTTACCATTTTTAAATTTTCTTTGCTTCACGGAGTATTTTCTTTTCCTCATGGCTTATTTTGTAGATTTGTGGGTTTTTTTTGTTGTTGTTGTTGTTGTTTTTTTGGTGGGTTTTTAACTTCATCTTAGTCTTCACTTTTTCAAAAATACCAGGATTTTATTTATTTTACCTATACTTTTGTTCTCTATTGATTTCTGCTTTTATCCTCCTGATTTATTTCCTTGTGTATACCTTGGTTTACCTTCTTGTTTTTCTAGGTTTTGAGTTGGGAATATAGTTTATTTCTTTCTGTTGATAGGTTTTTAAGGCAATGAATTTTTCTCTGACCAATCTGCTTCATGTGCATCTAATTGATTCTAGTATGTGAAGTTTGTATTAGTTTTTTCCCGAGAATAGCTTTCATTTCCTTTTTAAATTTTACCCAAGATTGGGCCAGCAGACGGTGTGGAGGTTACGCAGCTGAATTCCACATGGCCAGCAGTGGGATTCAAGTCTCTGACCTAGCAACTCGAACACACTGGGCGTGCATGCATGTGTTCCCCAGATCCTAAGAGGAGAATGGAGGAGAAGGGATTGCAGCATGGGATTGTACCCTTCCGACTCCCCAGGGAGTAATTTCTCACTTTCCTCTCTCTGTCTCTTTCCAGAGAGTACAGGCATCCTATAGCGAAACCTAAATAAATAAATAAACAAACACACACACGCCCGTGTGCGTGTGCACACATGTCACATGAATTTTAAGTTCTTCCCTGAAATCAGTTGTAATCTTCTGGTAATCTTGTATTTTTACAATTAAGTGAGCCGTCTCTTTCTGGAAGGGATTTTAGGTCAGTCCCGAGCACAATGCTGTAGTGTTTTACTCTTCTGTTGCTTTTGCACAGTGTTCCCTGGACGGCCCTTGTTCTTTTTTTTTTTTTTTTTTTGTGAGGTTTTTTTTTCCAAAGGCCGCATGTACCAACCACGAGGAAGCATGCACTCACCAGAGAGAAAGAAAGTGAGAAATCACCCCCCAGGGGGATGGCCACGCCGCAGTCCCTTCTCCTCCATTCTCTTCTCGGGATCTTGGGCACGCACGCACACGCGCCCGGCGTGAGTTTTAAGCCACCGGGTCCAGGACGCGAACTGCGGTCGACTACGTGGGAGTCCAGCGACATAGCCATTACGCTAACTGCTGGTCCCCTGGACGACCCTTGTTCTATGCAAAACTTCCTAGTGAGATTGTGCGAGAGCTGTGTTGCCATTTAAATAACTTATGTGTTTATTTTCCTGCTTGCAGACAATTCAAAGATCATGTGCTCTCTAATTATGTTCAAGTGTAGATTGTGTGTGGTTTTATTTTCCTTCCCGCTGATGATACTTTTGGAAACTATGTCATTATAGCTGTACTTAGGAAGCCTCCATTGCTGTTAGGTTCCTAGACATAGGTAGTTTTTCTGTTCTGAGTTTATTTCCTTCATGAGAAAGAGACACAGAGAGCCAAGTGTCCTCAGCAGCCAGCCAGCCAGGACTACGGGCACGTGGCCACAGACGGGAACCTTGCTGTACGGCCCTCGGCTCACACAGCCCCAGCCTCCCGCCTGTGCCACTGCGGCCAGCTGTGGACTTCCTGAAGACCCGCAGTCCCTGACTGCCCTCCCTTTTTTCCTCTAACAGTCTATGTAAAAAAATAGTCATTCATTTGGTTGAGTTTCCCACATTTCTGGATTTTGCTGATTGTAACTTTTTGTTATTTAAATAACTTTATACCATTTGACAGGAAATGCAGAAGATGCATATCCATAGTGATCAAGAAGGGTTTTTTTTTTTGGAGAGGTTTTTGCTATAGGGCGCGTGCACTCACCAGAAAGACAGAGAGAGACAGAGACAGAAAGCGAGAAATCACCCCCCGGGGGTATGGCCACGCCACAATCCCTTCTCCTCCATTCTCCTCTCGGGATCTTGGGCATGCACGCACACGTGCCTGACATGAGTTTAAGCCACCACGTCTGGGACTTGAACCGCGGTTGTCTACATGGGAGTCCAGTGACAGCCATTACGCTAACTGCTGGTCCCTATGATCAAGAGTTTTTAATCACTTGCTTGCTTTTTATTTTCTTTTTTAAGGAAATGTTTTATAGGTGGTGGTGGGTAAATCCTGTAACTTTCATTAAGGGCCATAGCTCTCTTTTCGTTACTGTTACGATTGAACATAAAATTGTGTATTAGGGGACCAGCAGGTGGCATGGTGTCTGGGGCGCTGAACACTCCCTCAGGGCCAACCACGGTTCGAGTCCCAGACCTGGTGGCTTACTTTCTCACTCTCTCTCTCTCTCTCTCTCTGGTCAAATGAAAATAAATGAATGAATAAAAAGAACTAATTTTTTAAAAATATTGTGTGTTGTTAGCTGCAATGCTAGAATAGTTACTGTTATCATATAGTTGAGGTATAATATGTACAGCAAAACTCACAGATCTTCAGTGTATAGTTTGATCATTTTTGACAAGTGGGATCAGAATCCTCAAGCCTTTCTCTGAGGAATTGTAAGAGGAGGCGATCCACAGCTTTACCAGTGGGCTCCTGAAGACAGAGCAGTCAGAGCAGGGCCACCCGGAGGGGAAGAGCTGGTCAGGAGCAAAGGTCTTGATGGCAGGTTTTGAGATACTTGCAGACTTTCGGGGGCAGGGGCAATAATGATAACGTGTCTTATTATGAAAATGTTTTGAGAAAGTGAGCCAGAGCTTTAACAACGGGTCTCCCAGCCAAGCTTCACCAGAATCTCCACCACAGCAGCATTCCTGTTTTCAAACGGGCTAATCAAACGGGCGGTTTAGTGAGTGTTTTCATAGGGTGTCGCTAGATGTCTACTGTGCAATCCTGATTTGGTGCCCTCTGACTTCTTTCTTTTTTTTCTTTCTTTCTTTCTTTCTTTCTTTCTTTCTTTCTTTTTTTTTTTTTTTTTGAAAGAGAGAGAGATTTTTGCTATAGGGCCCATCTGCTCGCCGGAGAGACAGAGTGACACAAAGTGAGAAATCACCCCACTAGAGAGAATGGCCATGCCACAGTCCCTTCTCCTCCATATTCTTCTTAGGGTTTTAGGCGTGCACGCACACGTGCCTAGTGTGAGTTTTAAGCCACCAGGTCCGGGACTCGAATTGTAGTCAGCTGCGTGGAGTCCAGTGGTGTAACCATTACCCCATCTGTTGATCCCCGTTTTAGGCCACCAGGTCCAGGACTCGAACCATGAGTGACTGTGGGAGTCCAGCGACATAACCATTACACCATCTGCTGGTTCCTTTGTTTCCTTATCTTAAAAAGCGTTATTTAAAGTGCTCCATTCTTCCTCAGTTAACAATGTGAAAGACTCATGGTTAAATTCTCAGGACCCTCAGTTCTTGGGGATGGGCTCAAGGGCTGCTGTCATCACTCACAAAAGTCTCTTGAACTTGTTGAAACTTAGGTTGAGAAGTAGTTTACACTTTGTATCTTCTAATTCCCTTTTTCTATGAACTTTTAAAAGTCTCTTTATATATCGCTAGTGCTTTGCATGCCCTTTCTTATCGTACACAGGGTATTATAAACTTTGCCTCTCTGGGTGCTGGATGTTCTTTAGAAGGTTAGTTTGTAGTAACATTCTGGAGCTTAGTCCTGCTAGCACTTTGGTCCTTTCAGGTCTTTCTTTTAAGTCCTCTGCTGGGGCTGGTCACTCCCAGCTGTGCAGCGCAGTCCTGTGTGCTTCACCAGGCCCCAGAACCATTGGACTGTGTGCTCTGGCTTCTGGTCGCCAGTGCTGTCCCCCATCTGGTGCAGTGCTGCCCGCTGTTACCTCGGACCCTCAGGCAGTGTCTTCCTGACTTGGGTTGTGTTCCCACACGGGTGTGCAGGTTAGTGCCCGGTGGCCACCTCTGCCAGGTCTGCTGAGTCCTTTCTGTGCATCTGTCTTCCCCAGTCCTTGTCATTTTGGTCACCTTGGACTTTGAGCTTTGTGTTCAGCTCAGGAAGTGTGCCACGCCTCATCTGGTACCACCCCCTGCATCACAGCCTGCAAACCATCTCTGGGCAGTAAGCCAGCTGCTGTAGGACTCCCGGCTCTGTTCCTGTCCCCGGGGATAGCTCTACTTGTTCTTGAAACTCTGCTTTTTGTTACTTTGTCTATTTGTTTCAGGCAAGAGGGCAAAACAGGTCCCTATTACTTGGCCAGAGCAGAATCTCTTCTTTACATTTCAGCAGCTTAGGATATTTTGTTTCTTTTGCTAAGGCCATAGTTAAGCAGACCAAAAGGCTAAGAAAGATGACCATAACTACAGAAAATAAAATATTAGGAAATGACTTAACTAGGTCAGAACTTCTTTACTGAGAATGGAATCGAGTGTGGAAGTGTAAATTGCAAACTAACAGGACAAGAACTACCCATTAAAATTGAGGTTCTAGGAGCCAGCACATGGCGTGGTGGCCGACCAGTGTTTGAGTCCTGGACCTGGCGGCTTGCTTTCTCACTTGCCTTTTTTCACTCCCTGGTCGAATTTTAAAAATAATAATAATAACAACAACAACAAATGGAACTAACTAAATAAATAACTCTTTTTTAAAATTCAGGTTCCACTTTGATAGCCTAAATTGTTTATAATTGAGACCCGAGGTGGTGATGATTAGCCTTAATTTTTGGTCCTTTGGTTGTTATCTTTGTATGTTTAGCTCTTTTAAATCCTTGACTAGATGTGATAAGAATTTATAATAGTAAGTTAAATCATAAAAGTAATTATCCCTTTTGGAACAAATAAAAGGAGGCGTGAAAGACAATACTTAGCATTCTAATTTTATCAGCTCCTCGATCTTCTGTGTCTTTAAATGGCTTTGGCTTTCCCTTGCCTTTCACTTGAGAGTCTTCATTAAATTGTCAGGAAAACATGAACCTGTAGGTCCTATTTAGCATTCTCACTGACCTAAGTAGTCCCTATTTCAGATGGCTTATGAAAGAAGTTAACAGATTCTTAGTAAGTTCTCTTATTTCAGTGATTCTCTGAATGTATTTTTGTGTATTTTTCAGCAGCTGTGTTTCTTAAACCATTCTTTAACTTGACTTTTAATGATAGTGCAGTCATGTTTACTTGCTTTTAAAGCCCCCACGTGTAATTGTTACAGACATCACAGCGCTCTTCTTCAATGGATGAGCAAGCCAAGCTTCATAAGGCTATGTCTCAAGGGGAGATTACGAAGTTGGCAGTGAGACAGAAGGCTTCAGATTTGGATATAAGGTATAAAGTGTACACGAAACTAATGGGGATACTGAAATTTTATTTAATTGTCTATAGTTAGATAATGAGCCTTTTAAAAATATATAATTGATAAGAAAGTTGTCTTGACATTAAATTTGTTTTCCAATTTTTGAGGAAATATAAAGTAATATTATAGTTGTGTGCATAACCGTATTTGGGGACGTTTCTAAACCATCATGTGACTTAGGAGCTTCTGTTGTAAAAGAAGAGAGGTTAGACCAGAGGAGGTTGAAAATGGCTTGCATTTCGGACTTGAATTCTTTTCCGACCTGCTTGTTTTAGAAATGGAATTGGAAAGGACTTTCAGGAAATAATCCTTCCTTCCTTCCTTCCTTCCTTCTTTCCTTCCTTCCTTCCTTCCTTCCTTCCTTCCTTCCTTTCCTTTCCTTTCCTTTCTTTTCCTTTCCCTCCTTCCCTCCCTCCCTCCTTCCTTCCTTCCTTCTTTCTTTCTTTTTTTAATAGAGCACGTGGAATTTTTCTCCTTTTCTTAGAATTTTTAATTTAATTAATTAATTTATTTTTCACATTAGTTCACCAGAAAGTAACAGAGAGAAAGAGAAGGAAGGTGAGAAAGCAAGCTGTGGGACCAGCAGTTAGCGTAATGGCTATGTCGCTGGACTCCCACGTAGTTGACTGCAGTTCGAGTCCCGGACCCGGTGGCTTAAACTCAACGCTGGATGTGTGTGCATGTGTGTCCAAGATCCCGAGAGGAGAATGGAGGAGAAGAGATTGCGGCATGGCCATTCCCCCAGGGGATGATTTCTCACTTTCTGTCTCTCTGTCTTTCTAGAGAGTGCACACGCCCTATAGCAAAAACCTCTCCAAAAAAGAATCCTACTTTCAATGTTTTATAACTTTTATTTTAGGGAATTATGTGACTTCTCTGAGTTTTATTGCTATATTAAAGATGAGGAAATTACCTTTCTAGTAAAGTTTAAATGTGAAATTGAAGATTGAATGTAATTTAATCTTATTTTAATTTAAATGTGAAGATTAAATGAGCTTATATACATGAAAAAGTATAAACCTTAAAGTGACATAGAAATGTTGAACAGTTGGACCTGCCAATTCCATTTTTACCTTTTACCTTTGTTTTTTTTTAAACAGACCTCAGAGAGCTAAAATGAGATTCTGGGCCAAAGGGAGACAAGGGGAGAAGAAGACTCCCCGGGCGAGGCCTGCCACGCAGTCAGAGGCTTCCACACTCCCAGCTGGCTCCGACGCGACTCCGGCTCGCCACTTTCCAGATGGTAAAGAGGGACCGCGGCTGGGCGTGTCGTCACAGTCCCTGGCTGGCCTTTCTGAAAGCTTGCGGTTCTGCAGTGTGTGTGGCAGTCCTGGGGCATAGATGCGTGAGGAGGTAGGGCCAGGGCTGCGGGACCACGACTTAACTGAGACAGCTCCACGGTTACTTTGCACCAGTCTTGGGAGTTCCAGGGACGTGGGGAGCGAGACAGCGAAGCAGTGGCCACCTCAAGACTGAACTCTGTAAATCTTGGGCTAGCCTTTCTCTCCTCAGCTGTGAGTATGTAGCCACGACCCGTTCACTGAGGCACATAGCACTGGCAGTGGTTACTCTGCACACGGCACTGTCCGTGCAAGCTCAGCAGGTCATCAGAGCAGCTTCCTGAGGGTGGGCGTGATTACTGTCCCAGTTTATGGACGAGAAAACCGAGGCACGGAGAACTGCATATTCATACACATGTAGTTACTGGAAGAGCTGAGATTGGAATCCAGGCAGTCCCAGTCCAGCTCCAGAGTGCACGGCCTTTTTTTTTTTTTTTTTTTTTTTTAAGATTTTTGCTATAGGGCCTGTGTGCTTGCTAGAGAGAGAAGGACAGTGAGAAATCACTAACCGGAGGAGACCGTGCCGCAGTCCCTCCTCCTCCACCCTCTTCTCAGGATCTGGGGCATGCATGCACACACTCCTGACGCATTTCCAAGCCTCGGTCCTGGGATTCAGACAGTGGAGTCAGTGATAGAGGATCCAGCGCCTTAAGCACCATGCCACCTCCTGGCCCCAGAGTCCACATCCTTCACCATGGTGCTGTGTATTAAGTATTGCTCTATGACAGTGCTTACCAGGGGCCTGGGGATTTATGGTAGCTGTTCTCATAACTTCGGGGCATGAAGTGTGACATGAAAACAGCCAACAGGGGACCAGCAGTTAGCGTAATGGCTATGTCGCTGGACACCCACGTAGTCGACCGTGGCTCGCGTCCCGGACCTGGTGGCTTAAAACTCACGCTGGACGCATGTGCATGCATGCCCAAGATCCCAGGAGGAGAATGGAGGAGAAGGGATTGCGGCGTGGCCATCCCCCCGGGGGTGATTTCTCGCTTTCTGTCTCTCTGTCTGTCTCTGTCTGTCTGGCAAGCGCACGCACCCTATGGCAAAAACCTCTGAAAAAAAAAAAAAGAAAAAAACAGCCAACAGTTACTTCATCTGTTGAGGAAACTGACCTTTCTAAAAGCTAGAATTGGGGCCAGCAGGTGGCGTGGGTGTGGTTAAGGCACTGGACTCCCCTATGGCTGACTATGGTTCGAGTTCCTGACCTGACGACTTGCTTTCTCACTTTCTCTCTCTCCGTCTCTGTCTCTCTCTGGTGAGCTCATGAGCTCTGTGACAAACTGGAAAATAATAATGATACATATAATTAAATAATTATTAAAATTAAACAAGTGCTAGATCACCTCCCTTCCCCAAGCCGTTTCCGAGGGGTGCCTGAGGCTTTGTAGGTACTCTGTAAAGAGGCCAGCCCTCCTTGATAGGATGCCCACAGAGGCAGGTACGACAGTGAGTGGGTGAGACACCTGCTTTCACTAGAGTGACAAGGGGCCTAGGAACACGGTGTCATATCTCAAGGAAGGGTTGACCCACTTAACAGTAAGTAAGTTTCCATCAAGAGGGTGAGACAACAGGCAAGGAGCAGGGCTCGTCACGTTCACATAGGGATTGGAGGCACAGTGGGGGCAGCTGCCAACGCTGGCAGAGGAAGGAGTGGTAGAGGTATAGTTAGACACCAGCGTCCCCTCTTCCTGGAGAGAGCAGCTTTCATCACTGACATGCGTGGCTGTAGACCATCGTAAAGAAAGAGCAGTGAGCCCCACCCCGATGACGTGAGACGTGTACATGGCTGTGTGCAGCTTGCAGCGAAGCTTGGACAGGTCAGCGGCATGTAAGGTGCCTGCGTGCCGGCACGACCGCCTCCCTTGTCTCTGGGATCCAGGTTGATGTTCTTTTTTAACTTTATTTTATTATTTTTTATTATTATTATTTAATTTGACCAGAGAGAGAGAAAGCAAGCCGCCAGGTCTGAGACTCAAACTGCAGTCAGCCATGTTAGGAGTCCAGCATCTTTAACCACTATGCCTCCTGCTGGCCCCTCCAGGTTGATATTCTACAAGGCGCTTCCATGTAGGTTTTTTCTTTTTTTTAAGAGAGAGATTTTTTGCTATAGGGTATGTGCACTCACTGGAGAGACAGACAAAAAGTGAGAAATCACCCACCCCAGGGGGAATGGCCACACCACAGTCCCTTCTCCTCCAGTCTCCCCTTCGGATTTTAGACACACATGCACCCAAGCCTGGCGTGAGTGTGAAGCTGCTGGGGCCAGGACTCGAACTGCGGCTAACTACATGGGAATCCAGTGATGTAACCATTACACCGTCAGCTGGTCCCCCGTGTAGGTTTTTAATATCAGATCATGGCTCCTTGGAAAACGTGCTAGCATTTCCCATGGAAAAGTGATGATTCGTAAATACATTTTATGTATAACTGTATAATCTGGATTTTTTCGACTACCTGCCTGACTTCAGACATTAACGTTACTCTGCTTGTAAAGGTATCTACATAGGTGGGCTGGCAGGTGGCATGGTGTTTGAGGTGCTGAACTCCCACATGGCCGACCATGGTTCAAGTCCCAGATCAGGTGTCTTGCTTTGTCTCTTTCTCTCTCTCTCTCTCTCTCTGGTCAAACTGAAGACAGATAGATAGATAGTTAGATAGATAAAGTAATTACTTAAGAAAAAAGATATTTACATAGGTTTCCTTCAGTGACTTACTAAAGCAACTTTAAAAAGGAAATTGTCTCTGTTATTACTGAATGTGTTTTTTGGGATGTCTGTCTTGTAGAATTAGTCACTCAGTATCACTCAACACCTCCATTGAGCCCAGAACTGCCTGGTAGTTGCCGTAAGGAGTTCAAAGAGAACAAGGAGCCTTCTCCAAAGGCAAAGCGCAAACGAAGCGTGAAGATCAGCAACGTGGCTTTGGAGTCTGCACATTGGCAGAACGACTCTGCCCAGATCATAACGAGTGCCGGCGATTTAAAAAGCATGGATGACTTCCTCCTGAAGAAGGTACGCCTTGCTCGCTGACTTACGCCTCTGGGCACTTCTCGTTGAGGAGTACCTGTCGGTGTGAGCATACGCCCTCTGGAGATCGGGCGACACACGCTTCGCCATGTTAGGTGGTCTGTTCTTTCCAGAGAAGTACACAGAACAGCAGTCGCCAGACACGTAGGCAGGAGTGGAGGCTCAGGCTTTCCTGTCGACTTCCATTTTACAGAAATGTCTTATGATACTTCACATGCACAGATGAGACTTGCTATACACTCCGAGCTCTCTGTCCTGGCAACAAGACGAGAAAAGCGCACAGTGTTAGAGGGGCCTTACACGACATCTAGTGATGCACTAGTTTGGCTTTCCCATCATTCTCTTGCCTGAGTGCCGTCGCAGTCAGGCGGCACCTTCGGGAGGTCGTGTGTAAACACTGTTTCTGTGGTCCCCAGATGAATGACCTGGATAATGAAGACAGCAAGAAAGACACGCCGGTGGATGTTGTATTTAAAAAAGCCCTGAAGGAGTTTCGACAGAATATCTTCAGCTTCTATTCATCTGCGTTGGCAGTAAGTTGGTCTGTGTTGGAAGTCAAGTAATCCAACGTGGGAGGAAGGTCACAGCGCCATAGAGGCTGTTACTGAGGGCATGTGCAGCTAGAGAGTCCTCAGTTCCTTATTGTCTAAACAAGTTCATTTCTGGGGAGATGAGCGGTTGTGAATTATAAAGATTATAAGCAATCTTTGTACCTTGAGAAATTCCCATGGTGTCTGAAACCACTGTTGTGTTGCTTATAGAAAGGTGTGAGGCAGGGTGAATGATCAAGAATAGGAGTTTATTTTATTCATAGGTTTGGGTGCTGGGACGTCCAAAGGCATGGGTCAGCATCACACCCCAGCCAGCAGGAGCTAAGAGGGTGGCAGGGTGCAGGGAGAGGGTGGGTGAGACACCAGGAGCAGCCATCATCCTTTACTCACAGCCTTCTGACAAGAACAAGCTTTCCTGGGACCAGCAGCTGGTGTACTGGCTATGTCGCTGGACTCCCACATAGTCGACCTTGGTTCGTGTCCCGGACCCAGTGGCTTAAACTCACACCGGGCGCGTGTGCGTGCGTGCCCAAGATCCCGAGAGGAGAATGGAGGAGAAGGGATTGCGGTGTGGCCATCCCCCCTGGGGGGTGATTTCTCACTTTCTGACTCTCTGTCTCTCTGTCTGTCTGGCGAGTGCACGCGCCCTATAGCGAAAACCTCTCTCGTGAGAGCTTGAACTCACTAGGTCTCATGGGTCGTCGTCAGTCTGTTCCTGGGAGTGATGCTTTTGTAACTGAATTAGCACCCACTAGGGCTCTGTCTCCCAAAACCATTACACTGGGGACCAGCTTCCAAAACGTGAGCCACCGAGGGACAAACCGTTATCAAAACCGTAACACAGCACTTCCTCGGATTACGGCGCTGTTTAGACTAGTAGGCCTTTTACTAAAGCTTAGCCAGTCTTACTCTGCGTCTATTCCAGACTAGAATAGGCGCTTACAGATACCATACGACCTCGTGGGCATACCTGTTAGAATGTGTTTCAGGATCTAATGTTTATTCTGAATACTGCGGAATATGCACTGTATCACTCCTCTATACCTAAATGTTTCTCATAGAATCTTCCATTTCTTACTGCTCACCAGATGGATGACGGGAAGAGCATACGGTATAAGGACCTCTATGCACTATTTGAACAGATTCTGGAAAAGACCATGAGGCTTGAGCAGCGTGATTGGCGTGAATCTCCAGTAAGAGTCTGGGTGAACACTTTTAAAGTGTTCTTAGATGAGTACATGAATGAATTCAAGACTTCAGATTGCCCAGCCACCAAGGTAAGCGAGGTTGGTTTGTGTCTCCAGAGGGAACGGTTAGGAACCCTTCAGAGAAACAGAACATGCAGGCTTGGCTCCACTTTAGCTCCCCCACGCCATGCTCCAGCGTGTGTGTTTGGACCCTGTTTTCAAAACAGCCACAAGTACGTTCTTCGAGTTAGAGTGTAATGCTCCACCCTCAAAGTTACTCTCAGCTTTAATAGTGACCAGTCAGCACCTGAATTTCCTTTTGAAAAGTGAGGGTGGGACCCGCAGATGGTGTAATGGTTACATCACTAGACTCCTACATCGTCAACTGCAGTTCGAGTCCCAAACCCTGCTGCTTGAAACTCATGCCGGGTGGGTTTGTATATGGCCAAAATCCCGAGAGGGGGATGGAGGGGAAAGGATTGCAGCATGGCCATCCCCCTGGGGGGTGGTTTATCACTTTCTGTCTCTCTGTCTCTGTTTCTGCAGCAACTACACATGCCTTAGAGCAAAAAATCTCTCTTTTTTTAAAAAAATCTTGGGGCTGGCATGTGACATGATGGTTAAGGGCACTGGACTCCCACTTGGCTGACCAAGGTTCGAGTCCTGAACCTGGCGGCTTCCTCACTTTGTCTCTCTCATTCTGTCTCTTTCTGGTCGTGCTAAAATAAATAAATAAAGTTAAATAAGATCATTCTTTTTTTAAAAAAAAATCTTTAAAACTATTAATTAATGATTAAAATAATCCTTTTCACTTACATGGCGTGGCCATGGGCAGAATTGAGGTTTAAAATGAGAATAATCTCTAATACTTGTATTATTTTGCTTTATCAGCACTGCATGTTACCACAATTGAGTTCTTTTCACACTTGCTTATTAGCGCTGCACCGTTCCCTGTGAAGAATAGGTGCTGCCTGCTCTGTTACCCTTGAGCAAACAGTTCAACCTTTGCCCAGAATAAATCACAATTGCTGTATTCTCTCCACTCCCTCCCAGGTGCCAAAACCAGAAAGAAAGAAAAGGAGGAAGAAGGAGGCGGACCTGGTAAGCTCCTGTAAGACTCGGTGTTACAGAAGAGCAGTCTGCGTTTCAGCGGTCGACTGTGCCCTGCTGCGTGTCCCTGCTGGCGTGCCCCTGCTGGCGTGCCCAGGTTCAGTTCCTGGGCACCTCAGTCCACTATGAGACCGCTTATACCACCCCGAAAAGACTTCCTGCCAGTCTGCAGTCACGGCCCTTCTCAGGCACTTCTCACTTGCTCTCTCTCTGTGGTTTTGCTTTTCCTGAAATGTCACGTAAAGCGATTCGTGTCTGTGACTTTCACATGAGGCTTCTTAACGAGGCATTTCCAAGGTTCATCTGTGTTGTCGTATCAGTGCTTCAGCCTTCAGTCACGAGCAGACCTTGGCTGCATGGCAGAATGTATTTTGTTCATCCTTTCCTCAGTCGGCAGACTTGGGTGGTTTTGTACCTGGAGCTGCTGTGAATAATGCATTAAAACCGTTGTGCGCGCTGTTTTTGTGGTGTGTCTCCAGCTCTCTCGGGCATAAACCTGAGAACAGCATTTCTGGGCCATAGGATTCACTCTGCTCCAGCTTTGCAAACACTGCCAAACTGTGCCAGACTGTCCTCCGAAGGACTGCCGTTCTGAGGGGTCCAGCCTTCCCCTACCCAGCCACACTCCCAGTTGCCTGCCTTCTGTCGATAGCCTTCCTGGTGTGCGTGGGGAGGTAGGCCACGGCGGCCACTGCGTCTCCCCGGTGGCCCGTGAGTGGGACGTGCTTTCAGAGGTGCCCTTTACTCTTGGCCGTCCACTCTTCAGCGACTGGCTACTCGGTATTATGCTCGTTATTAATTAGGGTGTCTCGTTGTTGAGTTATTAGGTTTCCTTATATATTCTGCCAAGAAGCCTTTGGTGAGATACGTGATTCGCACGTATTTTCTCCAAGTCTGTGACTTAACATGTTTAATGGTGTCTTCGAAGGTTAAAGTTTTCGACTTTGATTAAGCAGTGCAACAACTGTAACAGCTGTCTTCTGTGACTCTGAGTCAGCATGTTAGAAGCTTTTCACTTTTTTTTGGAGAGGTTTTTGCTCTAGGGTGCATGCGCTTGCCAGAAAGACAGAGGGAAACAGAGATAGAAAGGGAGAAATCACCCCCCAGGGGGGATGGCCACACCGCAATCCCTTCTCTTGCATTCTGTCGATAGCCTTCCTGGTGTGCGTGGGGAGGTAGGCCACGGCGGCCACTGCGTCTCCCCGGTGGCCCGTGAGTGGGACGTGCTTTCAGAGGTGCCCTTTCCTCTTGGCCGTCCACTCTTCAGCGACTGGCTACTCGGTATTATGCTCGTTATTAATTAGGGTGTCTCGTTGTTGAGTTATTAGGTTTCCTTATATATTCTGCCAAGAAGCCTTTGGTGAGATACGTGATTCGCACGTATTTTCTCCAAGTCTGTGACTTAACATGTTTAATGGTGTCTTCGAAGGTTAAAGTTTTCGACTTTGATTAAGCAGTGCAACAACTGTAACAGCTGTCTTCTGTGACTCTGAGTCAGCATGTTAGAAGCTTTTCACTTTTTTTTGGAGAGGTTTTTGCTCTAGGGTGCATGCGCTTGCCAGAAAGACAGAGGGAAACAGAGATAGAAAGGGAGAAATCACCCCCCAGGGGGGATGGCCACACCGCAATCCCTTCTCTTGCATTCTCCTCTCCGGATCTTGGGCACCCACGCACACGCACCAGGCCTGAGTTTAAGTGACCAGGTCTGGGACTCGAACCGCAGTGGACTACGTGGGAGTACAGCGACATAGCCATTACGCCATCTGCTGGTCCCAAAAGCTTTTAACTTTTAACATTGCGTTGTATTATATTGTGTCTAGTTTTTATTTAAGTTGGTCACGTTTATCTAGATTGTTAGATTTGTTAAAGCAGGGGCCATATGTCCTGTTGTGTTTTATTTCTCAGAAAATTGATTCTCCCTGTGGAATAGTGCCCCATGAAGACAGCAGTGGGTTGAAGGGTCCCCCGTTGGCTGACCTCACAGGGCAGCATCTACTGCACTGGCTTTCATAATAGCGGCTGAATTTTTTCATTCAGGTGGAAGAGCACAACGGTCACGTCTTCAAGGCCACCCAGTACAGCATCCCTACCTACTGTGAATACTGCTCTTCGCTCATATGGATAATGGACCGGGCCTCTGTGTGCAAGCGTAAGTGTGAGAGAGCCTTGAGAAGCTGTTTTAACCACTTGACCGTTCTACTTCCTTGAGCTTCTTACGTTCTGTTTGCTGTAGAGGAGTTACCCACACTGCCTCGCTAAGCCTCCTCTCGCCCTGTCCTCCCGTCCACCTGCCGCCCTACCCAGCCAGGTACCCTGGTTGTGCACGGTCACTGAGAGCCCGCACCACAGCTCCCTGTCGGGGCGTGTCCCCGTGTTTTGCTGTGACGTTGTTTCAGTTCATCTTGCCTCTGTTTACTTGTCACCTCCCCAAAGCACTCTCTCCCTTCTCCTAGCGGTAATGCCGCCGTATCCCCAAATTCTTTATCTCCTTATGGATATTTTTAAAACAATCATTCATTTAGTTTATTTAATTTGACTAGAGAGAGGGGGAAAGTGAGAAAGCAAACCCCCAGGTCTGGGACTAGAACGCAGTGAGTCATATGGGATCCCAGTGTCTGACCCACCTCACCCCCTGCCAGCCTCTCCTTCCTCGTATTTAATAGCCCTGTGGCACTCACCGCCACTGAAAACCATATACTGCATACTCACTCGTCTCGTTTGTCCGTCTGTCCCGCTAGAACACGTACTTCGGCAGTTCAGGGAGCGTCACTGCCCCGTCCGTCCCACCAGTGCTCCGCACAGCCCCGGCACGCCCCAGTTTAACAAGCACTTGCTGGTTCGGTGGCCCTCTGGGCGGACGGCAGCCGAAAGGCCGTCTTCCTGTCATAGCCCTATCAGCAGAATGTGGAGACCCTAACATGCTGGGTAGACTCGGCCAGGACGGTTCTGACGTACAGTGGGCCTTTATGTCCACTTCTCTCTCTCTCTTTTAGGTTTATTTATGTATTTGTTTCTTCATGAGCTAGAGAGACAGAGAACAGAGAGACAAGACCCCGGCAGCCTTCCTCTCCCAGTCTTCAGCCAGTCCCGAATCATGGGCAAGCACATACTCAGGGGCCTCTGGACTTGAACTAGGAACCTCCTCTTGTCGGACTGCCTTACAGAGTGCCACACTTTCCCACTGTGCCACCATCTGATCCCCCACCCGTTATTTCACACACCTGTTCTGGTGCTGTCAGTAATGCTGTGCAGCTTTGTCTTTACTAGCGGGCCAGAACTGAATGACAGAAATATTAGGAAGGACTGAATCCAGTATGACGCCCAAGGATGAAAGTCGTGTTTGCCTTGGAAATCACTACTACTCCCAGTACGTGCTCCTGTTGTGTGGTTTAGTAGCAGTTTCACCGTCAGGAGTCTAAGTTACAATGAGCGTGAGACAGGAAGTAGTTTGCAACGTACTTGACTAGGACGAGCAGGTGGCGTGCAGGTTAGGGCAGCTGAACCACATGACTGACTACAGGCTGTGTCCCAGAGGCTTGTGGATCACTGCCCGGTACGTGTACATGACTAGGACGAGCAGGTGGCGTGCAGGTTAAGGCGGCTGAACCCACATGACTGACCACAGGCTGTGTCCCAGAGGCTTGCGGATCACTGCCCGGTACGTGTACATGCGTGCCCAGAATCCTAAGAGGAGAATGAAGAAGGGATTGCAATGCGGCCATCCCGTCTGGGGTCAGATCTCTCCTCTCTCTCTTTCTCTCTCTCTCTTTCTCTCTTTCGCTCTCTCTCTCCACACCATCCCCACCCCATGAGCATAATAGCTAACTTAAAAAAAAAAGTCTAGTACAATTCTTTTTTTTCTTTTTTTTTAACATTTAATGTATTATTTAATGCTAATGTTAGTTATAGATTTGAAGTAATTGCTTCTGTGATTTGAAGCTCAAAATATTTTTTGCTTTTTAGGACCAAAGTGGGCTTGGTCTGATTTCTCTTCTTTTTTTTTTTTTTTTTTTTTTTTTTTTTAAAATTTTTTTTTTTTTTTTTTTTAAGAATTATTTTATTTAAACTTTAAGCAACTCACCAGGCCCAGGACTCGAACTGTGGTCGGCCATGTGGGAGTCCAGCGCCCTTAACCACCACACTACTTGTTTTTTTTTTTTTTTTTTTGGAGAGGTTTTTGCTATAGGGCGCGTGCGCTCGCCAGACAGACAGAGAGAGACAGAGAGACAGAAAGCGAGAAATCACCCCCCAGGGGGGATGGCCACGCCGCAATCCCTTCTCCTCCATTCTCCTCTCGGGATCTTGGGCACGCACGCACACGTGCCCGGCGTGAGTTTAAGCCACCGGGTCCGGGACTCGAACCGCGGTCGACTACGTGGGAGTCCAGCAACATAGCCATTACGCTAACTGCTGGTCCCAACCACCACACTACTTGTCAGCCCCAGATTTCTTAATAGAATTAACTAACTTATTTTTTTGAAGATCCTGTGATTTTACCATATGGTGGTTTGGCCTCCCCTACCTGATGTTGGCCTTGAAAACTCCCCACGTTCTAGTTCAGAAGCTCAAGAGAATGTGCCCAGGCATTGATCTGCAGGAGCCAAGCTGATGCGGCACAGTGACAGTGGCCAGCTCTTAGTGTCTCCTCTTACTGTGCCTCCTCTCTTGTCACCCTGCCTAACACTCCAAGGAAATGTGTAGTGCTGCTCATGTTGACAGCTGTGGGTTTTTTAATCTCCAGAGGTGCATGCTCTCGCCATAGCGAAAAGGCACGATGGAGCGCATGCGCCACCTGGCATGGCCGTGCTGCAGTACGCTCTCGGCTTCTCCGCTGGTCAGATTTGGGGCGCGCAGGCACACGCTGGCATGGCCGTGCTGCAGTACGCTCTCTGCTTCTCCCCTTGTCAGATTTGAGGCGTGCAGGCACACGCTGGCGCGCTCTCCAAGCCACTGGCTGGGCTTCAAACCAGTCTGTGGGCTCCTGTTCTTTATGCACGGCTCTTAACCGCCCTACTACAGGGCTGGCCTCCTAGAAATCGTTTTTGATTTTGATGTTCCCGTTATCTCATTTTCCTATTTCCAGTTCATAAGCTTCGTGCTCTGATTCCTCAGATTTCTACCCTAGACTTTTAGAGATAATGAATAAGCACTTTCTTGTATTTTAATGTGCCACTCGGTTTGTTTTCAAAACAGTAATGGCTTTGCTACCATGAGCATGATTCCCTATAGGTATTTCTGGCATTTTACGAGCTGTAGAATATATTCATGGGGAAACACGAGCACTCATTTGTGAATGAACCCATGAAGATAGGTGATTATCCCACTAGAATTTGGGAAGGAGTGTCTGTCGGATAGACTGGGCTTCTCAAAATATTATGGCTCCATAAAATTCATCAATAGTGGTGAGAGATTTTAGGCATGTTTTTCAGCTTTATTTTCCCAAATATAGAGGACTTTAAAAGCCTTTTTAATTGTAACATAGTGCAGAATAGTACTGGGTCGTCTGAAAGGTTGCGACACACTTGTGCATAGAAATGTTTGCGACAGCTCAGTATATATGATGATACAGCAACCCCAGATTTAAAGAAGCGTCTGTCCGAGATAGACTTCCAAGCGCGTTACACCCTTACCACTGATGTGCAGACTTCTACAAATCGTGTGCTCTTAACCTGTTTTTCAGTATGCAAGTATGCGTGTCATAAAAAGTGTTGTCTGAAAACCACAGCCAAGTGTTCTAAAAAGGTAAGCGACCCCCATCAGTGATAAAGAACAGATCTGCTGGTCTTCCGTGCCTGGGGGAAAGAGAGCAAGGCCCGGCGATGGTTTTGTAGAGCCATGGTTTTCAAAAGGCAGGCCTTGGTCGGATTAAGGGATGTGTTCCTTATTTTGGCTCCTCACCAGAGAGAATGGGTGAGACCTCCCTGAAGAAAGGCAGTGCCACCTTCAGCTTTCACAGGTGTTCTCACAGAATGTCGGGCTGAGGGGTGAGTGCGAGAGACATAGGCAGTGTCGAGAGACTCGTGAGTAGCCCACTCACTGGGCGACCAGAGCACGTACTTTTACTTTTGTAGTGTGTTCACATAACAGACAGAACGATGGGAAAGCTCACCAAAGGACTGCAATATATACTTAACCCTATATTTTTAAAGAGTCAAATGAAAAATGTGTTTGAATTTTTAAACCCCAAAAACGAGTTTAATGGCCATGCCAGAAGGGAAGCCTGGTGACCTTGGAAGGCAGGGGAGTGGAATGTCCAGCGTGAGAGCAGTGACAGTGGGAACCTCTCTAGAGAGAGATCAGGGGCCGACAGGTAGCGTGGTGGCCAGGGGCACTGGACTTCCCCATGGCCGACCACGGGTCAAGTCCTGGACCTCATGGCTTACTTTCTCAGTCTCCCTCTCTCTGTCTCTCTCTTACTCTGTTTCTCTTTGGTCAAATTAAAATAAACAGAGCTAAATAAAATAATTCTTTTTTCTTTTGACTGGAATGTCATATCTGAATATTAATCAGAAAACTATGGAACTAAGCTGGATCTGAAGTAAGCCAACAGAAGGTCTTAGAAAGATGGCCTGGTACCATAACTAGTTCTGCCTGGCAGAGAGGATTAGAGAAGAGATGTGAAAGAGTTATAACAGAAAATAACCTGGGCTTTTCCAGCCAGCATTGTCATCAGTGGAGATTGCAAAGGAGCAGCCACACCAGAGGATTATCTTGAGACAGACTTTGAAGGAAGAAAGAGACTGCTCTTTGCTAGCAGATGCTGTATCACAGGGTACTTGGGCGGGGCTGAACTGAGAAGGTCATGGGTCACTTGTGTGCTGTGCATTTGCTTTTCAACAGTTCGAGTAGCTGACATGCAAATACTTTCTCAAAAATACTTAAAACCATACTGTCTCTGCTATAGGATCACAAACAAAATTATACCAAATTATAAGAAATATTTTAGACATTATCTTTAAAATTCAGTATTTTGAAAGGTGTTTATTAACTGTCAAGAACTATGGAGTATGAGTTAAAATTGTTTGATATGTTAAAAAAAATCCAATTTAATTGGGCCAGATGGTGGTGCAGAGGTAGAATGTGGTGATCTGTGAGGCGATCCTCCATGAGAAGGTTCCCAGTTCAAGTTCAGAGACCTCCCTGAGAGTTTCGGGACCTGTATGTCTGTGATCCGGGCCTGGCAAATAACTAGGGATAAGGCAGATTGGGGCATTGAGAACCCTGTTGGGTATTGTCTCTCTGTGTCTTTGTTTCTCTCTCTCTGTCTCTCTCGTTCATGCAAGAAAAAAATTAACCATTAAAATAATTTAAAAATTTTAAAAAGAGATCATAAATGAGAAAGCACAAGAGACATGGGCAAGAGTGAAAGTTTTTTGAATGTATATGAGCAGAGGGGCCAGCAGATGGCGTGGTGGTTGAGGTGCTGGACTCCCACGTGGCCAACCATGGTTCTAGTTCTGGACTTGGCCGCCTACTTTCTCACTCTCCCTCTCTGTCCCTCCTTCTCTGAACACATATGCCCTATAACAGAAGTAAATAATAAGTAAATAAGATTAAATCATTTTTTAAAATGTATATGAGCAGAGTTCCAGAAGCAAAAAGAGAAAACAAGGCAGAGGCAGCATTTTAAGAGATAATGGCCAGGGCAGCCCTTGGCGTAGTGGTTAGAGCAGCTGGATCCCACACGGCCAACCACACAGTACAGGTCCTGGACCCGGCAGCTTGAGAAGCTCTGGGTGTGTGCATGTGCATGCCTAAAATTCCAAAAAGGAGGGAGATGGAGGAGAGACTCTGGCGTGACCGGGCCCCATGGGGAGTGCTTTCTCAGTTTCCTCCTCTGTCTGCCTCCCTCTGAGGGGATAGAAGGGCAGGGCCCCTCAGAGGGAGGGGATAAGACACCACCCCAAGGATCAATGAGAGACACCCCACTGCCTGCTAATAGAGATGGTGGAAGCCAAGGGCCAGTGGCTTGGCGTCCTCTCTGTTTTACAAGGAGAGAAAGCCCACTGAGAATTCCGGAGCTGTAAGTGAAGTGTGGTGTCAGACACCCTGTGAAAGGCAGCCACGAACAGCTGTTGACAGAGCACTAAGCACGGGCCGGTTTGTGTACCTCTGCCTGTGGTCATGAAGGAGGTCTTCATTTAAACTTCCTGAAGTTTATGGACATGGCAAAGCATTCCTAAACTCTTCAGAAATGACCTGGCTCATGTCAAATCGGCAGATGTTCTGATGGTACCTGGTAAGTGTTCCAGCTGTCTGCAGACACAGTCCAGCCTTCTCAGACAGATCCCACCTGGTGAGGAGCATTTCGACGAGAGAGAAATGGTAGCCTGCTGGCACTGTCTCCAGTCTTCACGTGGTGATCTGGGGGCCTCCCACTGGGAGAGGATCGAAACAGATGTCTCACTCATACTCCTTTCATGGCAGTTCCCTGTTACGCCCATTCTTTCAACTGTGTGCATAAAACTAAGAGAAATATATAGTAGTTCCTCTTAAAGAAGTGATTAAACATATTTAAAGAGACATGCACGTGGAAATAAAACATTATCTTCCATTTAGTATGATCCAGAGCTGTCATCTCGACAGTTTGGAGTTGAACTGTCGCGTTTGACCAGTGAAGATCGAACTGTTCCGTTAGTGGTGGAGAAGCTTATCAACTACATTGAGATGCATGGACTGTATACCGAAGGAATTTACCGGAAGTCTGGCTCAACTAACAAGATCAAGGAGCTTCGGCAAGGTCTGGACACAGGTGAGATCACGCCCTTCAAATCCAGACCAAGCGCTGTCATTTAAATAGATCCTCGCATGCTTCTGAAGTTGTCACTACATGCCAGTCCTTTACTGAGGGCCAGAAGAACGCCGTCTCTTCTGTGGCTTATTTGTCGTTTTATGGTATGGTTTTCTTAAACCTTCAGTTTTATGTGGAAGTTAGCAAGCATACAGGTCAAGTATTCAGGATCAGAAGCTTTTGGGATTTTGGAATATTTGTATATACATAAAGGGAAATTTGGGGAATAAGACCCAAGTCTGAACACAAGATTTCCCTATAGTTCAGGTATACCTTACACAGAGAGCCTGAGGGTAATTCCATACACCATTTTTGTACTGCAGTGCTTTAACTGTGGCCTGTCACGAGGCCAGCTGTGGAATTTTCCACTTACAGCATCACATTGGTGCCCAAAAGGTATAGACTTTGGAGCTTTTCGAATTCCTGAGAGTCAGCCTGTATTGAGTGTGTTTAATTTTTAATTTGTCAGAGGGTAGATAGTTTCACCAGACAGAAAGAGAGACAGAGAGCGAGAAGCAAAGCAAGAGTGCACTGTGTGGAGCACAGCCATGCCACGGTCCCTTCTCCCCCCTTTCCCCCTCGTTTTGGGACCGTGAGCACGCACACATGCCCGGGGTGTTTTCAGGCCACCAGGGCCGGGACTGACACTGCACAGCCAGCCACGTGGGTATAGCACCTGAGCCGCCGGGCCGTGGGCCTGGTGTATCATTTGTGTAAGGCACATTACGCACTTGACGGGTCTCTAATCTTCCTATTCATCTGCTGATAGCATAATGCCTCTAATTTATAAAGAAGAAAATTTAGTTTCGGGAAAATTTAGTAATGACCTTAGATGGTGATGATGCAGGGCATTGTGCCAGTCATGTTATTAAAACCTTCATGGCAGTCCATTGAGGAAACGGTAGTATTTCCCCCGAGAAAGTGATGCTTACAGAAGATCTTGTCCTGGGGTGACCACCTCCCCTGGGGGTGAGCGCTCAGTTTCCCTCTCCCTCTGGGCACGTGTGCTCTTGTCAAAAACAAGGACCCATGGGACCAGCAGTTAGCGTAATGGCTATGTCGCTGGACTCCCACGTAGCCGACCACGGTTCGCGTCCCGGACCCGGTGGCTTAAAACTCACGCCGGGCTCGTGTGCGTGCATGCCCAAGATCCCGAGAGGAGAATGGAGGAGAAGGGATTGCGGTGTGGCCATCCCCCCTGGGGGGCGATCTCTCGCTTTCTGTCTCTCTATCTCTGTCTGTCTGGCAAGCGCACGCACCCTATAGTGAAAATCTCTCAAAAAAAAAAAAAAAAAAAAAAAGAAAGAAAAGAGAAAAACAAGGACCCATAAGTGACCGACTGGATTTTGACCCAGTTCAACCTTCTGAACGTGTCTAAGCTGTGGCCGTGTTTGCCTGACCTCGCCGTGCATGGGTTGGGCACGTTTCTGTGTAGAGCATTGCCGCGGCCCTGGCGGGGGGTAGGAAGGTGGCTGTGGTCTCGTGTTCACCTCTGCTCCTTAACGCTGCTGAGAAGGCATTGCAGGGGACTTCACAAAATCGTGGAGAATGGAACTGAAGTAGGAGGAGTTTGTTTTGGTTCACAAAATTGAAACGCACACATAGTTTTATCTTTTAATTTTTTTCAAAGAATTATTTATCTAATTTTATTTATCATTATTATTATTTTATAATTTGCTATAGGGCGCATGCACTCACGAGAGAGAGAAAGAAAGAAGGACAGTGAGAAAGCAGTCTGCCAGGTCCAGGGCTCAAACTGTGCTCTGCCTTTTGGGAGTCCAGCACCTTCATACCACGCCACCTGCTGCCTCCTAGTTTTTTCATAGTACACATCGCCGTGAACTTTTTACAGACCCCTCATACATTTTTTGAACCAAACAGGTTCAAAGCTTGTCTCTGTGTGGCCAAGAATATCCCCACAGTGCCGTTTGTTAGGAACAAATCAGTGAGAAATTAATCAGTATCGACATGGCTTTTGGTGACAGAAACACCTGGTCAAGCTCTAGCAGTTCTGACCACCAGAGGCTTGGTCTATTCTAGGTTCCAGGCAGTTGCCACGTTTTCTCCTGAGCCTCGGAGCAGCCCAGGTGAGACATGACGTACTCTGCGCCCTCGCGGCGATCTGATCTGTGTGAGTGACACGGGAAAGTGGCATCTCCTAAGGGCAGTTCTCACGTCCTTGCAGCTCATGACAGCTGTACTTTTAGAAAATTTCTCCAGGCATTTTTCGTTTGTCTTTTATTTTTTAATTCCTCCAAATTCCTAGTTTAATAAGAACTTCTTTATTTTGAGGGAATAAGGTCCCGAACATCAGGCTGTCCACAAAAATAACCCACAGTATCAACTTCAGAAAACAAATCTTAAGGCTTTTGCACTATTTTCTAGAGGATGCATTTGACATGCTGACTCCCATTCACAAAAATACATGTTACATTTGTGTTGAACAGCCCCACACAGCACTTGTATGTGGGGCATGAAGCATGTACTTCTGACTCAGAGCTGCTCTCAGGAGATTGGACTTCTAAAGCTTCACTGCTGGAAGTGTGGCCTGTGGCCAGACCACAGGGTAAGTGCAGAGAACCAGAGCCAAGGCGTAGAGAGCCTTCCGGCGTCCAGCGGTCCAGGCGTGCTTTTTCACGTTTCAGTCAGCAGCAGGCTGAGAGACAGACCAGCAGAACTTACTCACTGCAGGTGAGAGTGTCGTTCCAAAGCATAGAATTACATTGCAGAAGACGGAAGCTGGTCAGTTTAAAAAACATGAAAGCAGGACCAGCAGATGGCGTAATGGCTACGGTGCTGGGCTCCCATGTAGTCGACCACAGTTCAAGTCCTGGACCCGGTGGCTTAAACTCACGCTGGGCGTGTGCGCGTGTGTGCACAAGATCCCGAGAGGAGAATGGAGGAGAAGGGATTGTGGCATGGCCATTCCCCCTGGGGGGTGATTTCTCGCTTTCTGTCTCTCTCTCTCTCTCTCTCTCTCTCTGTCCGTCTGTCTGGCAACTGCACGTGCCCTATAGCAAAAACCTCTCCAAAAAAAAAAAAAACGAAAACAAAAATGAAAGCTTCTTTCAGTGATCATACTGTCTTTTTTACATATATGTTTCATTTAACTTTATTTTACTTATTTAGTTTTATTTGACCAGAGAGGACAGAGCATGTGTATGTGTATGTGTGTGTGTTGTGTGTGTGAGGGAGAGAAAGAGAGAGAGAGAGTGAGAAAGCAACCTACCAGGTCCGGGACTCAAACCATGGTCGACCATGTGGGAGTCAGTGCCCTTAACCACCACGCCCCCTGCCAGTGCCAGTGATGATGATTTCTAAAGTGAATTATTAGAATCGTTTTGCATGTTTTGGCTTTGTTTTCTAAATAGATGCTGAGAATGTGAACCTAGACGACTATAACATACACGTCATTGCAAGCGTGTTCAAACAATGGCTGCGTGATCTGCCCAATCCACTCATGACCTTTGAGCTCTATGAGGAGTTTCTTCGAGCTATGGGTAAGCATAAGCTTCCTGGGCTGGAGAGAAGGCCTGCGCTTGGGAAAGGGATGGCAGCCTCAGCTCAGATCATGAAGCCGTCTGCTCACTCAGAGGCAGTCTTGACAGTCAGCAG